TGATGAGTAAAATCTGGCGTTAGACAGAGTAAAATAATAAAGTAGGGCACATTTCCACTTAACATGGGCAGATAGTCTGATTAACGCATTGAGCGACAGCACTCCTCCCTGATGATTAAAATCATCTGGCGTTAAACAGAGTAAAATAATCTGGTGTTAGAGAGAGTAAAACAATAAAGTAGCCAGGGCACATTGTCACTTATTGTAAATGGTGAACAGGGTGCATGGGCAGATAGTCTGATTAACGCATTGAGTGGCAGCACTCTTCCCCTGACGAGTAAAATCATCTGACGTTAGACAGAGTAAAATAATAAAGTAGGGCACATTGCCACTTAATAGGTTAACAGGGTACATGGGCAGATATACAGTCTGATTAACGCATTTAGAGACAGTACTCCCCCCTGATAAGTAAAATTCATCTGGCGTTAGTCGGAATCAGGGCACATTGTCACTTACTGTTAAGGGTGAACAGGGTGCATGGGCAGATAGTCTGATTAGCGCATTGAGTGGCAGCACTCTTTCCCTGATGAGTAAAATCATCTGGCATTAGACAGAGTAAAATAATCTGGTGTTAGACAGAGTATAATACAGTAGGGCGAATCTTGGCAGATTGTCACATAAAGGGTAGGTTGACAAGAGAAATCAAGGCAGGTATAGATTCCTTTAACCATTAAACTACCAGACAATCCCTTTGACAAGTAAAACCATCTGGCATTAGACAGAGTAAGTAGATAAAGTTAGGCACATTAAGTTGGGTGCATTGCTGCTTCATTATTATTATTATACAGGTATAGATTCCTCTAACCATTAAACTACCAGACAATCCCTTTGACAAGTAAAACCATCTGGCATTAGACAGAGTAAGTGGATAAAGTTAGGCACATTAAGTTGGGTGCATTGCTGCTTCATTATTATTATTATTATTATTATTATTATTATTATTATTATTATTAAAACTTTATTTAAAGAAGGTTAATTTACAAGGAAATATGCCAGTTTTGCTTTCGCTAATCTTCCACTGGACCTTCAAAAGTTAACTATATAATCGAATATATTTACATGCAGCATAATAATTTACATTGCTGCTTCATGGGATAATACTGTAAGAGATATTGGCACATAGATTTCTTGACCCATTAATCAGATACTTATCTTGTCAAGTAAAATGATCTCTTGTTAGAGAGAGTAAAAGGCTAAAGTGGCGGCGGCGGTGAAGTTGGGTGTGCATTGCCGCTGAATGGGTTAATCCACTAAATAATTTTCAAGATATCTCTTACCCCTCTCCTTGTTGGGTAAAATCGTCTGGTTTTACATTGGTTTTATATATATATATATATATATATATATATATATATATATATATATGTATATAAATATATATATATATATTTTCCATTGATGAGTAAAATTATGTCGTGTTAGCCACTGAGAGTAAGTTAATAAACTAGACGTGCATGTACATGATGGTACATGTGTTATCGAGAATATTAAATAAATCCAAAGAATGTAAGTGAGTGTAGATCCATATATGATTGTGCATGTTTACTCCTATGTTACATCATGTGTCAATATGAATATAAATGTTGGTTTCTACAGTCAATGCTTTGATTGTCACTATCAAATAAGTATGAGACTGGATAATGCCGTTCGTCCTCTTGTCATCCCCTTGCCTAGTTGCCTAGTGTGGGTTATAGGTTGTTATATAATTACATGTTATATAATGGTCAGATTGTAGCTTAGCTGAGTGCACCATTCAGGTCCTTTTTTTACCATATAGGTTGGGGGGCCAAGACACCCCCCACCCGACATGTTGTCCTCACCAGTTAATTATTTGGCACCCCCAGTGTAAATGTCTTTTTTCAAAGACATATCTGATATGAAACTATGAAGAGTAACGTAATTCAAGAGAATAGGCATCGTCTTGCTGGATTTCCTAAAATTTTACGGTTGGGTCCGTGAAGTATCAAGGTTTAGCTCATTAATTAAACATGATTACGTGATTGATATGTTTGTAATATTTCGTCCAATTGCAACGAGGAATAATGACGTGTACACACGCTTTAATCAGATTAAATAAATAGGATTAATCCAATCAGATTAAAGAAATTCAGCGATAGCAGACGTCAGTAGGTTGTTCCGAAATTTTCATTTTTATAAAATGTGTCATTATTTCATATGCGAGAATTTTTCTGCTGTTCATTTCAACTCATCTGATTTAATTATCCTTTCTCACGCCTTCATTTTTGAGTGGTAACCTCCCTTCAAGTGCCATTACAATTATAACAAGAAGTCGTGTCTAATGCTGGTGGTTTTATGATTAACTCTACTGATTAATTCAAAATGTGCCGCGAAATTAACATAATGATAAATTCGGACGTGTTTAAGAATTTACTCACATAGTAAATTCAAAGGTGGAGCTCATGTTGTAAGCGAGATAAGTCCACATAAGAGCGACTTTTTATAATTTTTTGGACGAATGATGATAAATTTGCTTTGTAAATGGTTTATTAGTTTATTTTAAAAATTGCCTTAAGTTTCACATTATTTTAATTGTCTGCATTGGTCAACAAGAATTGGATGCCACTAAAAATGGCGGATATTCGTCATCGTGAGAAAGGCAAATTGATCATAAATAGCTGTATAGACTGCTATAAATACGGACAAATAATCCTTTTAAGTACTAGTTAAAACATGAGCATCCGATCTGTATCTGATATACAAACTCGAGCCGAAGCCGAGAGTTTGTATATCAGAGACAGATCGGATGCGAATGTTGTGAACAAGTCAAATAAATTTGTTATCAACTTGCAGCAAGTCTGCAAATGTCAAGTTGCTACAAGCCTGATTTAACAGACTTGCTGCAAGTTGTTTATCAGACTTGTCAAAACTTGTTATCCACAAGCTTGTTGCAACTTGTCTGAGCAACTTGCAGTAAGCCTGTAGATAACAACTTGCAGCTAGCCTCCGGATAACAACTTGCAGCAAGCCTGATTCTCACAACTTGCATCAACATTGATGCATTCATCAGACTTGGACCAAGTTGTTCCATCAGACTTGTCAAAACTTGATATCCACAGACTTGATGCAAGTTGATGAAACAACTTGCATCGAGTCTACAAATGACAACTTGCAGTAAGGCTGATTTCCTCAACTTGCGTCAGCACTGATGCGTTCATCAGACCTGCAGCAAGCCTGCTGAAATCAGACTTGCTCATGCAAGTTGACATTTGCAGACTTGATGTAAATGTTTCATCAACTTGCACTGTATAATAAGAAGCGGTAGCTATCGTTGAAAGCAATTCAGTTGCCAACTTTAACATGCCACTGTGGGTATGCAGCTAGCGAAGTACCGTACATTTGCAAGTCAACAGTTCGTAGGATTTTTTTAGTAATAATTCCCTGTTATTTTTCGTATAGATGCGAAATTTGTTTACCATAGAATGAAAGATAAAAGAAGTTAAACTGAAAAGTGCTGGAATTAAAACAAATGAATTGACTTGACAGGACTTAAGTATATACCTGAAAGAATTGATGACGTAAGGCGTGATATCGCGATTAATTTCATGCTCAGGTGCCACAAAATAAGCTTCCTGATTGGACAATTTGAATTTGAGGTATAATATGAGTTAATATCCTGCTAGTAGAGAACCAATCAGATTACAGAATATACCTCATATCTAGACCTTGTGTATAAAAGAATTATATTTATTATATGTAGGAGAACTCATATACAGAGTGTATCAAAAAAATACTGAACAAATATGAATTTGCTCTCAATTTCGCAAAACAGCTATTAGTATCCAGTTTTTGATGTATATAGCTTCAATGGGTACTTATGTCTGAAATTTTGTACAGTAATTAAAAACCCAACAAATTTTCCATCTATTAACTCAAAATATGATTAAAGCTTTTAAATTTCGTGCGCAAGCCATTTTTAGGTTGTTGGGAAGGACCCCCGCCCCCCTCCCCCCGGTTTACAAAATTTGTGTTCGAGAATTTTTCTCATTATTCTACATTATAAATACCCAAAGAAGATACATACATAAAAAACTGGATACTAATATAGCTGTTTTGCGAAATTGAGAGCTATTTCAAATCTGTTCAGGTTTTTTTTATACACCCTGCATATATTTAGTATGCAGGGTGTATCATATTTAGTATGCAGGGTGTATATTTATATTGCTGTCTATTATAGCTATATTACATGTACATCTTTTTCAGAAAATATTATAAGATGTTTCCTTAAAGACGTTGTTGTGTTTGTTGTTTCTCTTTCAGTCTAGATACTAAGATTGAAATGAAGTCAATCCGATCTATGATTAAAAAACTGATCTATAAGATTGAAAATTGTAATCTAATAGATTGAATATTTTAATATTTTAACGATTGAAAGTCTTCAATCTAAAGAAAAGATTGATTTTCATTCCAGGACGTTTGGTCCTGCAAACCAAGCTTGCAAAGATTGTAAAAAGATTGAAAACCTTAACCGATTGAAAAATAATCGCTCTTTTAGATTGAAATTATTCCAATCTAAACAAAGAATGAAAATATATTCAGTCTAAATTTTCAATCGAAAAGATTGAAATTCGATTGAAAAGTAACTCTTTTTAGACTGATTTTGTTTTCAATCGAAGGTACGATTGGTTTTCAATCGAAAACTTTTGGTCACGCAAAACAATCTTAAAAAGATTGAAAATTCAATCTACTAGATGCAATTTTTAATCGTTTGAATTAAGAGAGCAGGTAAAATGACACAAGTGAAGTTTTGAATACTCCAGTGGTAAAAAAACATCCATCTAAACAGGGAAGGTAGCGGAAAATTTGCCAAAAAAGGTTTTATAGGAAGTGAGTAAAAAATTCATGACAGCAGCAGAGTAACGTTACAAAACGAAGGTTGAACTTTGAAGGAAACACTAGTGAAAACAGGGAATTAAAAGAACAACACGAAGTACGCCGCCAAATATTAATGTAACTGAATTAATACTAGATACAAGCTCTGAATGACAAAAACATACTATTTAAACCAAACATGCCTCACTGTACTTGGTTCTCTTCATGCTGGCATTGGCAATACCCATCTAACTAACCTGGTTGCTACTACTATCTTACCAACAGTGAACAGCAGGACATTTAAGTCTCGTAAAAGAGACGTTGGCGAAAGCTGTGGAGTTATATTGGCCCAAACTAGCCACAAAACTAACTTGGAAGTTGAAATGGAAGTGACAGTAAAGAATGGGGATTTAACGGACGAGAATTACGTAATTAATTGGCATCCCTGTGTCATACGACATGGGATGGCAAAAGCGTGGAAAAGGGCTCAACTCGCTGACTGGACAAGGGGTGGCTATTAGCATTTGAATGTGTCTTTGGCGTATGCAACAAGGTGCAAATTAATCGTGTAGAGTGTGTGACCATGCAAGGAAGAAAGGAAAAGAACCTAGGGGACATGACTGCACAAGAAATCATGATGGGTTGTCGAAAGCAATGGAACCATCAGTTGCATGTGAACTGTGGAATTCAGCCCGCAAACATAAAGGTTAACTCTCCATTTATGTAGGTGATGATGATCCTCCTACTCTTCGTCACTTGAGCCAGAATGTACCTTATGCAATGGATCGAGGAGTGGTCAGACAGTGTACATGCAAAATATTTTCTGACATCAAGAATGTACAACCTGTCAACTTGCTGCAAGTTTCAAAATTCATCAATTTTAAGTAAAAAGATTGTCAACCATTTAGGAAAATGTTTTTCATATTTATTGTATTGCACAATACCGAGACAAAACCGGTTTACCATCAGCTTTAAAAAACATTGTTCCTCATGCTTTCGAAGACCATTATGGCTGTTGTAGTAGTGTGGTTATCAAAAAATCCAACATCGTGCAAGCAGAAACGGAGTTTCTTACATGCATACAAAGACTTGCAGAGCAACGAATTGAAGAATGCAATTTTTCACCTTACTTGATGAGTATGCCACAGACACTGATGTTAAAAAACCGTTACCATTTTCCAACCCGCAGAGAAATGAATCCCTGAACAGTGTTATAGGAAGCAGAAACTCCAAAAATGCGCTTGTATCAAGTTAACGAGTGCAATGACTTTCGGGTTGCTTGCTCAGTTGCTCAAAAGAAAATTGGATTTAGTTATATCAATGACATACGCAATAGCATTGACATAGAAACATATATGCGGGTACCAATTGCTTATTATTCTTACAATTCCACAAAGGATAAAAAACGACAAAAAGATAAAATTAGAAGTTAGGCGACATCAGTTAGAGTCGGAAAGAATCTCAAAAAATGCCAAGAACGAGGCATAAAGAAGGTAAAACATATGAAACCAGTATTGGACTGAATCTATTAAAAGAAAGCTCTACTGCATGCCCAGTTACATATAACACTACAGTTGTTGATACCGACAAAATTATCATTAGCCTAGCAAGAAAAAATTAGCAAGAAATGACCACTGATCTAGAAATATAGAACTAGGATAGAGCTTCTATACTTATAGGAAATGAAGCCAACTTTGGAATTCGGCCGCCATTTTGAAGGGATTACCATGCGTTACAAGTCTAACGCCCGTATTCTAAAAGCTCACTCATGCACACTCAATGAGCGGAGGTTCAATCTGAGCTTCTCTTGGGTTAGTAGTCACATAGTAAGGAGCTAGCTCTCCAGCTATTCAAAACAGCAATGACACTCGAGAGAAGCTCAGACTGAACTTCTACTCATTGAGTGTGAGTATGAGTGAGTTTTTAGAACACTGGTATGAGGTATTATCGGTTCTTATTCCTTTATCTTATTACAGTGTCAATTTAGTTTATTCTATACATTGTAATTGTGCGAGTATATTGGCATGCATGAACTGTATTTGCGTAATTAGCTTGCTACTGTTACAGTATTTGCGCTCTTTCTGTTTTGCCTTGCACAATGTTCGTGACCTACATGTTATGATCTACTCAATTTATTCATAATCTATTAAAAACCTGATCTAGTGTAGTAGTGAACTATATATAGAAATATTTGGCTGTAAGCTGTCAGACTTCATCAGCTACCAAATTATTCCACCAGTACTATTGTTCCCAGTAAACTGCGAAACGACTGTTTTTTTAGGCGCTTTGTCAGTGACAGTTTGGTCAATTACGAAGGACATATTTCTGTACCACGCGATCACAATTCGTTGCAAGCGGCGTGTGAAAAACTGCAAGTTTCAGTTTGACATTTCTGACAGTTAAATGGTTTCTAATTTTATTGTCCAATCAGATGCGTAGTTTTGAATGTTAAATCAAAACAACGCACCTGATTGGACAATAAAATTAGAAACATTTAAGACCATTTAACTGTCAGAAAAATCAAACTGAAACTTGCAGTTTTTCACACGCCGCTTGCAACGAATTGTGATCGCGTGGTACACAAATATATCCTTCGTAATTGACAAAACTGTCACTGACAAAGCGCCTAAAAAAACCGTCGTTTCGCAGTTTACTGGGAACAATAGTATACTTAAAATTTTCCCATTTTTTTCTATTTTACGTGACGTTTATTAATACTCAAAATTATGTCAAATCACCGCCCAAAACGGCATTTCATAGACTCTACTTTTTAAAGCCCCGTTTACGCGAGCAATATTTATGTGACAATTTTATGTGACAAATGTATTTGGTTCTGTAGAGGAGACAACAAATTGATTGGTGATGCACTTGATTTCTGGTTTTAAAATCATCTATGAACAGCAGTATCTCGCACAGAATAAACAACGCGCGGACAATAAGTCAAACTTCTACAAATATGGCGGGAGAAAAAAAAATGACATTTTACGTGACGAGTAATCTACACGAGCAATTTTTCGTATGTGACAACTTCTATATTTGTCACATAAAAGCTAACAGGCTAGCTTTTCAGTAACTGTATTTGCCACACCAAAATTGCCCAATTCTCCTCGTCTACACGGGCAAATAAAAATTTTCACATCAACACATCACACGCCTACGAGGTCTCGCGCCTTCGGCTCCAGAGTGCCATTTACAAGATTCCGGCGCCCCTGAATTTAAGCCACTTTTTCGCATCAAAAAAGAAAATACAAGACTGTTCAATTGCCCCTAGGGCCAAACAGTGTATTGAGCCACTTTAAGTTATACCGGAATCAATTATATACAGCATGAAGTTATATAATTGTGACCACCGAACATGACACATTTTAGTAATGACGTGTACAGAATATGAATTTGAACTGTTTGCAATGGCATGTTGTAAAAGACGGACTGGACTGGACTGAATTGGACCGGACTGGACTGGACCGGGAAAACGCGGACTGAGTCCGTGTTTTACAAATCGCGGATTGAATTTGTAAAACACGGACTGGACTGGACTGGACCGGGAAAACACGGACTGAGGCCGTGTTTTACAAATCGCGAACTAAGATTTGTAAGACGCGGACTGAGTCCGTGTTTTACAAATCGCGGGCTGTGATTTGTAAAAGGCGGGCTCATTTACTGAATGCACTAAGGATGAACGGTTGCAGTAAAGTATTGTCTATTTTCATGGCAAAGTTCAATGTTTTTACCGAGAAAGTTCAATGTCTTTGATGATCATTTATGATTATTTGGTGGTTTCAAAGCTTGGATCTGGTTGTTCAACAGATTAACATCAGATCAGAACCTGTCAAGTGCTATCAACTGGCGACCGTTCATCCTGCAAGCGACGGTACATGGACTCAGTCCTGTACTGACTCAGTCGTTAAAGTTTTGGCGGGAATTGCACTCAGTCGTGAGAGTTTTGGCGGGAATTGCGGATATTAATAGGTCGGTCAAAGAATATAATCATATCCTGGAGCTAAGGTTGGTAAAAATTACTATTATTTATTGTTTTGAATAAATCAAAGATTTTAAATGATAGAATGTTGAGTGAAGTAATTTACAGGGCTTTCAGAGGGAATTTATAGAATTTATATTGGTCCGAAAATAAGGGTTTAAGCCATGTTTTAACAGGAATTGGCAGACACCCCCCGAATTAAAAGTGGCTAGTTTCGCCCCTGGATATAGCTCTTATAGCAGATACCATTTAGTGTTACTCATAATTAGTCTTAAAATAGAGTTAATTTGTTTATTTTGTGTTCGTGGCGAAGAGTTTTCAAACGTTTTCAACCGTTTTCAAAGTTACGCGATCAAGGACGAAAATGCTAGAGTTGACATGCCAGTTTATGTCATTCGGTCACAAAGTTTAAACTTTGAGTTTTGCGGTTCCTTGTCAATGTATATGCTTTGTATGCTTTATATAAACAGGCTTACAATGATTTCAAGATACTTTTTAGTGGGAATTATTGCAAAATTTAAGCACAAACAAAATCATTACATCACCGTTCTAGCGCGCGTGTTTTATACTGACAGCTATATTCCAGGATAAATTGCAACCACGAGGTTGGATAAATTGTTATTTTTCAAACTTTAAAAGTTATTCACGACACACATTTATGTTGTGATGGTTTGTATTGTGCTTGTATCTAACTCATTTTTGTTCAGTTTATTTGCATGGTATTAAATACAGTTTAAAATGTCTTTTGACAGTTTGTTTACGTTTGCTATTTTTAGCAGTTTTTGTGACATAAAACTGACATTTGAAGTAAATAGTTTTTTCAGGGAGGTCGCGTAATTTTGAAAACTGGTGTAAAAGGGAGTCTATAAATTTGCGAGAAATATGCGAAATGAATACTATAATCGAGTAACGATTTTTAGAAACTTCCTCGTATGACAACAATAAAAGTTAATAGACTGCTTTGATGTTTTGAAGGCCTGTGAGAGTTTCCCCGTTTATAATAACACAAATATTTAAAAGGCAAATTCGATTAGAGTATTCATTTCATATTTCTCGCAAATTTGTAGACACTTTATTTAATACGCTCTCTTCGCCACGAACACAAAATAAACGAATTAACTCTAATTTCTTCTAATTATGATTAACACTAAATGGTATCTGCTATAAGAGCTACCCTATATCTATACAGGCATACAACTATTTACCATCATGAAACGGCCACATTATGATATACGCACGAGTTTCCTCGACAATAGTGGCACAAAGTCCCACATGGCTGAGCTTGTTCCTAAGATTGAACGCTGTTCATCAGTTTATTCAAAACAATAAATAAATAATAGTAATTTTTACCAACCTTAGCTCCAGGATATGATTATTCCTTGACCGACCTATTAATATCCGCAATTCCCGCCAAAACTCTCACGACTGAGTGCAATTCTCGCCAAAACATTACGACTGAGTCAGTACAGGACTGAGTCCTTGTACCGTCGCTTGCAGGATGAACGGTCGTTGATAAAAACATTGCCTATTCGCGTGAGAATC